AGGAATCAAAGAAGCCGACACACTGGCAGCCACTTGCACTAACTTTAACAATGTTTCCATCAAAGGACAACAGCAGCACTTCCAGGCAATAAGAGAAGGCCACACTGACTTTAAGAGCTTATGTGGTGCAGGGGCCGTCTGTTTAAATGAATGATGAAGGTCTAAGGACTGAAATATTGTAAATAAAGTGAGCACAAGTGATCAGGTGTCTGCTTCAGTCAAGAGTTTATAATCCAAGACACCTGTCAGTAGAAACTTATGTTGAGTAAGAAGTTTGTCAAATCTGTTCTACAAAGGTTCTTTTCAAACTTTCAAATTCCACTCAATGCAAACCTACTGATCATTACAGATGAACAATTTCACCTCCAGGGTTAATACATTCTCTCGTACCTCCTGGTGTGGTTGAGTCAGGGCTGTGATTGCCACCTCCAACGCAAATTAACACGTACTCACCGCTGCACAAATGACGGGGTGTTTGAATACAACCCACTGAGTGTGTATGAGTGTGTACATGTGGTAACGGTGTTTAATTCTTCATATCATGTCAAGATCAAATGTGTGTCTGTAGGCCATTAGTAAACACTTCCGACCAGAGGGAGAAGCCACACAGTCATGTTGTTATTACTTTCTAATAAGGCAAGATGTAACTATTGGCTTATGGATGCCAGGTTGTGCCCAGGTTTATCAGCACTTAACTTCTGGAATATCAGAAATACTTCAACTTATAACAACCTTGTAAAGCTACTCTGATTTTATAGCTGCTAATACAATAACGCAACTGTGAGCAAACGTGAAAAGAGGCAGACATCTGCACAAGATAAGGAAATTGTGGTGAAGAGACGAAGCAGCATTGGTGATGATGAAATTAAATGGCTTGGATTTCTAAAGCTGGATAAAAAGCAAAGCAATTTCAGTTGCAAGATACGCCTGCAACCTGTGCAGGAGAAGACGGCAAACACAACAAACCCTCTCCACCTTTTGAAATGGTAGCCCACAATCCCACAAGTGCATGGAAAGACAAAGTGTGCCCTCCCAAACTGACAGAACTAGCACTAACAGCCAAGCTCGCAAACAAGCCTCTGGTGGTAACATTAGTTCAAACCCCAGCAGCAGTCGCTCCTGTCTGCCTTTCCACTCATTGATAGGAACCAGACCAGTGGCTGTTTATCACTTTATAAGTCACATTTTTCTAATTTATATGTTTTTATTTAGTACTATTACGTTGCACATTAAATACAACTGCAACCCTTATTAGAAAGTAGGACCACCAAGTACTTCTCCCTGTATGCCTGTATATGTATGTGTGTGTATGTGTGTGTGTGTGTGTGTGTGTGTGTGTGTGTGTGTGTCTGTGTGTGTGTGTGTGTCTGTGTGTCTGTGTGTGTGTGTGTGTGTGTGTCTGTGTGTCTGTGTGTGTGTGTGTGTGTGTGTCTGTGTGTCTGTGTGTGTGTGTGTGTGTGTGTGTGTGTGTGTGTACCTGGATCTCCCTGTCCTGTCTGCTGTGCTGGGACATATCGAAAGCAGTGATGTTTGAAATTCACTCTCTGCTCTGTGCGACTCTCAGTCATGTCTGGAGTATATTCATTGAGCGGGGCTTATCTGAACTGAGGTGCTTTATTCTTCTCCTGCTCCTGTACCACTCTCTCATCTGTCCGTTGATACAAACACACACACACACACACACACGCACACACACACACTCAAACATGCACACACATTCACACACATACCTGCAGTGCACCTCGATCCAGTCCCTCCACACACTCACACAGGCATCCAGACTTTAGATCCAAGCGTCTCGCTGTTGCCATGGGGACCATTTCGACCTTGTCAGCACTTCTGAGATCTGCCTGGGGCGAGGTAATTTGCCCCCTCCCCATGCTTCACTCTTCCTATCCCTCCTCTTTTTCTCCTTTCGAAAAAAAAAACCCCATCCTCTATTCTCAAGGGGCATGACTATTCCTTCTCCTTTTCTTTCTCTCAAATTCATTCAGCCACAATGTTTGGCACCAGCAATCTCCTCTCCTCCTACCCTCACTCCCACTCTATACAGCCTTTATAAGTGTGTGTGCATACACTTACTCTTTCCACAGACTCTGAGAGGAACTGGGAAGGGTGTGTGCGTGTGTGTGTGTGTGTGTGTGTGTGTGTGTGTGCATCTGCTGCTGATTTCAACCACACAGGATGAGTTAAATGCAGATAGCTTATATTTCTCCAGATTTCCTTGGGGAACATAATGAGGTAGATTGATGTATAGACAGAGCTAAGCCACAAAGGGAGGCAATTGCTCCAAAGATTTACCCTGGCAGAAATCCTGAAATGTCTTACTTATGTGCAGAGTTTGACCTTTATGTTTCTGCTGCAGGCATGGTAATAACATGAGCCTGAAGACAGCAGCTCTGGCATGAATAAAGCCCATTCAAAACAATATCTTAGAATTGGCAGTTGAAAAATATTATTACTTCACCGATGAAGAAATTAACTTCATGCCAGAGGCATAAAGTGATGCAATAATAATGTGATACTTCCCCCTGAGGGAAATACAGATCAGGGAGAGGAATAAACCAACTGGCAGGGATTCAGCGTGTTGCTTAAAGAAACTTAAAAAGGTTTGAACCAAACTACTCTGGCTGAGCGATCATCTTATGCTACAGCTCTCATACACAAAAAAATACTATTATAGTCAACACTATGGATGGGGTTCAATAGCATTTTATTTAATCTGAATCTAGTTCTAGTAAAAAATCTGCTTTTTAAGTTGTTTGTTTGGTGGGGGATGAAGACGAATGTCAAACAGTGCAGTGAAAAGATTCATTTCAATTGTTTTGTTGAAATTTTGAAAGATATAACTTGTGTATACATAATTGTGATTTAGGGACCAATTAGCAGATAACCATGACACTGACACTAACAGAAATTAAGGTAATTAACTATCAAACCTAAACCTTGGTCATTCTACTGTGTTGTGGGGTTGTTAGGCTTGCGCCACATATTTTGTCACTGCTCTCCACTCGTCTTTGTCAAGTTATTAAAAATGCCACAAGTTCTTATTTTAACATTTTGGTCTGAATATACTTAAACAAAGGGCTTGTTGTTCCCCCCTTTCCCGCGAGTACTCTCTCGCAAATATTACATGTTGCAGTTGACTCGTCTCGTTGACTTCCACATTCAAAATCCAACCAGCTATCGGAGCCAATCTCTCGTTAACACGTCTGTACACTGAGCCATAACACTGTGCCTGCGTTTCATATGAAGCCTCACACATCCATACAGATGGTGACATAACACAAGACCTTCTATGAACGTTCTTTAGGATTCATGAGGATTTAGCTATCAGTCATAACAGATCAGAAAATGAACCATTCTGCTCATGATTATGTCCATAATCCATGACTTGCGATGTGCTATACTTAGATGCTTTAGCTTTGACCGGCCCATATATACATAGAGGCCGGCTCACCTCTAACTTCCTCACAGCATTATCCCAGCATCCTGACAACATAATGGACCTGCTGTCCAGGGGATCAGCTGAACTCGGACGGGCAGGAGCAGAGGCACAACTGGGATAGCTGATCTCCGCGTGGAGGGGCATATTACGTGGTTTATCCTTTCTATACATAGACCTGGAGGTATTCTTAGAGCCACCACACACTGGCGGCAAAGATGACAGACGTATGACTGTCAGACAGAGGGGAAATATTATGTCTAAGACTGGGTAAACCCAACTAAACGCATTTTATACGCCTTTTAATTTGTGGAATAGCTTACCCACGAGAGGCTGACACAAACCTATGATGAGAGTTCATAATGACACAACAGTCAGGAAGTAAGTGTAAAACAACTAAATAAGTCATACGAGGATAATGTCTTGGGGGAGGTAAACATCACCTGATGATGACCACACTTTGAAGGTCGCGGTTTAGCCTCCTTTTCAAGGTACCACTACACCAGTAAGCATGACATAATCAGATTGTAGCAGCAATGCAATTACCAGTTAGTGCACCAGCAAAGGAGCACCTAGTCTTCTCCTAAACTCCAGTTTCTGTACAGCCTGCAACTGGGTATTCAGGTATCATTCAAATATAACACACAATTAAATTTAGATGTTCCCATGAGACTGTACCGCTGCTGTTACTCACAACAAATCACTTCCACCTAACATCGCAGCTGATGACATAAACCATGTTGCCTCTGCAATGTGAATGTATTACATTTGCTGGCTTCCACTGATTTACATATGAAAATCAATTAGTGTACTTGCTTGAGTTGAGTCATCCATCACAGTGTGTATTAGGGCTGCAACAAAATGATTAACTGTTTATAAAATTTGATATTATACTAAAAGCCCATCACAGAATCACAGAAGTTGACATTAGTGCAATATCCCAATATTCAATTTACAATGATATAAAACCTCACATTTGAGAAGCTGAGACCTGCTACACACTGACAATATGGCTTCATAAATAACGAAGACGACAACTCTTTTGTCTCTTTAGACTTATTGATTATCATTTCACCTTTAGTGAATATAAATCCAAATTCTTTTTTGTCACATTTGTATTATCGTCATGAGGCAGTTCACACTTTCCAAATCTTTCAGGATGTAAAATGTCTTAGAACAATGGTGAAGTGAGTCACATCAAACATGAGCGCAGACTTTTCTAGAGTTTCATTCTGTGGAGAAATCAATGGGAGGGAATGGCTGCCTGGAACAGAGGGAAAACTAGTATGTACAATAGTTGAGCAGGTAGAACTTGCAAACACACTCATAAGGACCACATCGGGTAAATTAAACGACCATAAGTTCCAAGGACCACTAGAGGTCCACAAACCCAACTTTGGGAACCAGTAGGATTTAAAGTTCAGAGGAAGTAGGGTCCTTGAATGAGGAACTCTCTCAATTGCTGCTCTGATCAGCTTTGTCTTATCTTGGACAAACCCTGTGGGAATAAATGGATGTAAAGGGTCAAGTGTGGAAAAACAGTAATTCCTCTCACCATGTCCGCTGGGGTGCTGCCCGTCATCGCGAAGGTTTACCCGGTCCTCGGAGGGGTTCACTCTCACAAGCACGCACGCACACGCGCGCGCGCACACACACACACACACACACAAGGCAAGCACACAAATATTCCCTCTTTTCGTCTCCTTTGTAACAGCTCTCACAAGCTCTGAAAACACGTCGTTGCTGGGGTTTAGAGGAGGAAACAAATACACAATTTATCCCTGGTGACTTGCTCTCTCTCTCTCTCGCTCTCTCTCTCTCTCCACAGTCAGCACCGAGGTAGTCAAGACGTACAGCGCTTCTTCCTCTCTATTGCACAATCATGTCGCTGATCTTTTTCCTCCACAAAAACGGTAAATGTGGACTTCTGTAGTGTGCGTTAGTGGGATAAACTGTCGACCCGGGGGCCTCCTCCGACCCACCAAACATCAAGAATATCCCGCTTTAGAAAAGGTGCCTACGCCATGCGAAAAACCCAACACTACTGGCACATCCGGACACCGATATTTTTCTCTCTCTCTCGGTGGAAAAAGAACAAAAAAAAAATATCCGCAAGGTTTAACGGTTACCGTCCTCAGATAAAGTAAAACACGTCCGCCGGTTGGTGGAGAAAGGCGTCACGCGGTGAAATCTGTCGGTGCTTCTCTTTACGACGGGAGTTTGTAATGATTGTTGTTAATGTTCCGGACTGCGCTGCTGTACCTTCACGACCCGTTCAGCTGTCATCCTGCCTCCAAACTAACGGCAAGCTACTAACTGAAAACAACACTGGACTTCCGGTTACCCCTTTCAAAATAAAATAACTTTATCCTTTATTGCGCAGTGTTCATTTATTTTTCTTTTCTTTTGACATTTTATTTACAAGCGCTTTTTCTTCCCACAGTTTCGAGGGCTCAGTAAAGTCAGAGGTTTTTCTCCTAATAGACACTACATTTATTGTGGCGGAGTGTAACCAAGTACATTTAAGCACCATTACATATTGTGACTTATTTTATTTCAGTATTCATGCTTTTTTATTGTTCTACCCTACTACATTGTGGAGGTAAAAAAAAAATCTTTTTACTCTGCTACATTTATTTGACAGCTTTAGTAACTAGTTACTTTGCAGATTCACAAATACAAATCAACTAATACATGATGATATATGATTACAGATTGAGCTACCTGGCAGTACATGAAACAGTTACTATTAGCTCCACCTTTGCCAGCTGCTACATTAGTGATGTTGAGACATTAATACATAACTATTATCCAGCGATTATGACATATTTTTTTCTTTCTGAAAAGGGCCACTCTGCATGATTTATTTACTAATTTACTATTTTTGATACAAACACTTAAATCAGTCATTATGCAGAATGATCCCTGTCACTGTTACATTGTTACAGTATTGGATCATTATTATCAATGCAGTAACATGTAAGCAGTACAGTAAACAGTACTTGTTATCAGACCCTTCACATGAAAAGGCACATAGATGAAAAGTGATTGGAAAAAAAACATAAATATGTAATTTAATCTTTGACAGCCTGCTGCTATTAATGTTGTCCAAACCTCAGCCAAGCGCAAGATGTTTTGAGTCTTTGTTTTGCTGCTATAGGAAAGTTAATCAAGCCTTTTCTGTACTTTTTGTGTAATGGCACACAATAATACCCTGATACCATGTTGACCAATAAAAATAAATCCTTTTTCTACTTGTCACTTCTGGAAAGGTCAAAGGTTAGGGTCTGTTTACAGATATATTTGCAGTCATGGAGACAATCGGTCTATTAGAAACAATCAGTGATCAGAGAAGACAGTACAAAAAGGCTGCTCATCCTTGATCCTCTAATGACTTAATCAATAAATTAGTCAATCAATATTCAGGATTGCGTGTGCTATCATCAAGAGTGAAGAGTCTTCCAGATCTGAAACTATAAAATAATGGCCTTTATAAAGCAGAACAAGAGATTTTTGGGGGTGAAGTGCTGGTTTCCCTGTATATATAAAACACATACAGTCAGTATCAGGCTTTTTATATTACATGCAGTACATAGGAAGTATTTTAATAAAGACTTGAAAAAGACATGACAGTTTTATAATATCAGTTCAATATGGTTGAGGGGTTATTTATAGCATGCATCCAATACATATGTAATGTAATATCCTGACCTTGGTGAAGTGCTCTGCCTTGTGTTTGCGCCTGTCTCTGTGTGTGTGTGTGTGTGTGTGTGTGTGTGTGTGTGTGTGTGTGTGTGTGTGTGTGTGTGTGGGCCCTGTTTCCGTCAGAGGTCGAGATGCGTATCAGCAGCAGGTTTGTCCTCTCTCTGGTGGCCTGAGTGAAATCCATTGTGGCATCAGGAGTGGCTTTTTCTCTGAGATCTACAGGATTAACTACCTAATCTCCCCATCATAAAGGGAGAGTGGAGAGGGGGTAGAGAGTCTGACACACACACACACACATACACACACACACACACACACACACACACACACATACAAAAGCGTAAGCATGTCTGCACAAACACAGTGAGGTGTGAATGTGTTTTTGTTGGCTTTGTTTTTAAAATTAAGGTCAGTGCATGATTTTCAGCTAGTGGGCCAAGTAGGGCAGGAATGAATGATTGTCATTTTCAATTCAGCTCTTCATTATTTTCTAACTGATTGATTATTGTTTAATATATAAAAACATAAAATGGCAGAAAATATCAAATACTTTCCCAAGGCTTCACATTGCTTGTTTTGTCTGACGAACATAAACCAAAGGTAGTCAATATGATCATATTAAACCAAAACCGTCACGTTTTAGAATCTTGATAATGATATAAACAATCACACACAACCTTTTGTTTTGTTTTTTCACATAGTACAACATATATGACAAAGACAACACTAACATTTAATAAAAATATACTAAAAAATACTAAATACTATACTAAATACTAAAAAAAACAGATATACACTGGTCAGCCATAGAAATGACCATTGAAAACAAATGAATATAATAATTTAGGATATATAGTCAAAGAATGGTGCAAAAAAGCATTATAATGAGTATGAAATACAACTGAAAGTGACAGTTGATATGCTCATTTATGCAAAACATGTTCCAAAATACAATCAGGTCATCTACTCCATATGGGATACCGGGTTTAAGCATAAAGTTTCTACCATGTGTTGTTCTTGAGTTATGACGACATAATATTTTGCATGCCATAAACGGTGTATGGTGGTGGGACGAAAAAGTGCTTTGAAATTTAAAAAAAGGTTTTCCAGTAAAGTGTCAGGACATAACAGTGCATGTCTTCCATCATATGTATTATAGATATGACTACATGAGACCAGATGTAAAACAGATTGTTTTCAATGATCCTTGACTGTTTGAATGCCCGTCCTGATGACACATTAAACCAAAACGCTTGTGTATCATTATCTGACTTGCTGGCCTTCTCATATCTCCCAACCAAAACCAAAATGTAAATGTACCTAGATCAAATAAGTACAAGTGTGTGTGTGTGTCTGTGTGTGTGTGTGTGTGTGTGTATACAGCCTGTTTCCCTCCTCAGCACTTGCTTGTATTTGCTCGACAGTGCAGGTCTGTGTAATATGAACCAAAAGGGCACCTTTACAGTCCCTTAGCTCGTCTCTTTAAGGTCTGCTGATCAAATATAAATGTTACATTTTGTGTAAAGACAATACAACTCAGTAATCCTCTAAGCCTCTTGACTATGTTCTCATTTAGATTTTCATCTAAGCACCTGCTGTTTCGCTCAGACCACACACAGAGATATCTTTCGCATGAAGCACATATAGATCACTGATCGTGAAAAGGAAACCACATTAACGTAACATTATTTTCAGTGTGATTCAAAGGTCAAAGGGTATGATTAGAGTTTAACCAGTGTTCTGTATCCTCTTGCACGCTGTCAGAGTAGAAGCTAAACTTCAATCTATTTCTGTTGGCAGTGTCACTACAAAACAGTTGCTGCTTTTTGGTTTTGAAGGGCAGCATGCACAACGCACTTGGTGGTTACCACTGCTCCATATATAAACACTGACGCTCAGCATAGCACTTGAACATCCCACTGCTTTGCTTCCGCTGCCTACCCATGCTTCTCACAGATTGTTAACGTGCACCGTTTGTCATCAGCTATTCTGAGATCCTGAAGCAGACTTTGAGCTCAGACTGTGGTGCAAAGGTTGACGCTGTGAGCCACCGATGCTTCACAAGCCCGGACTGAGAGGACAATTCAGTTTGGCTCTCCCAAAGGAGGCGTGAGCAATTATTTCCCAAACATAATCACAGTGTCCATCCACAGGTTCCTTCATGCTCATCAGTCCCTGACTGAGAGCAATCATTGACAGAACCATTGGTTGTCTGGCTATCTCACCCATATATTAAACAAAATCTCACTTTTATTTAGCGTCATACACCCAGATAGTTATGGTTTCATGTGTGTGATATAATCTCCAAAACTTCTGTAACCAACCCAATGCAATTGGAAGTCAGTAAAATTCTGTGGTTTTTCTAAAGAAAATTGTTGAGTCATTGTACTGTACATTTGACTGTGTATATGTCTTTCTCTCTATGGTGCCCAGATAATGAATGCTAATGACTTTGGTGATCTCCAGATTTTTCCTCCAGCACCACCATGAGGTTGATGTTTTGATTGAAATGACTCGACAAGTACGGATTGTCATGAAATTGTGAAATGCAAATGTCCTCGTTGAGGTGAACTGTAATAACTTCGGGCCTCCCCTGACGTTTCATCTGGCCATCATTACGTCAGATTTTTAGTTTATAAAAAAATACTTTTAATGTCCACATACCTGCAAAACTAATGATATCCCCTTGAGCCTCAGCTATACTTTGTTTTTAGTGCTAATTATAAAATGTTAGCATGCTACCACGCTAAACTAAGATGGCAAACATTATAAATGGTAAACATCAACATGTTAGCTTTGTTGATGTGCACGTTAGGATGCTAGCACGCTAGCATTAGCATTTAGCTCAGTACAGCCACACAGAGTATGGTTCTAGTATCTCAGTCTACTTTTCACCTATAGATGAATCTAGCTTGTAGCTAACAGGAAGTAAACAAGCCATCATTACTGTGTTGGTACCTCACTTGTCTACACATCTAATAATGTTATAGTGTATGGAAATGGGTTAACTTCTTTGCTGTGTAGTAAAATGGCCAAAACTATTTATGTTTTATCATTATATTGACATGCTAACAAATTAGGTATGAATACTAAGGTAGCTAGCACTTCTACATTGCACTTCCATGTCTCCTGTGGAGAAAATATTGATCCAACATTTTTTTGTCTTGAGTCTATTATCATGAGTAAACTGACTGAATAATATCCTTATTCACATTCCTAATCTATCTTCACCTGTTAGGGGACAATTGACGAATGTCATCAGTCCAATCTTCCGTAGTTTACCACAGTAATGGTGAATCATCTATCACATCCGTATGTCACCTGCATTTGAAATACTCTCTCCTGTCATTGTTACCAGCAGCTCTCATGAACCATTATTTTCTGTGACTGACAGTTCTGGCACAATGTCACCAATCCTCACAGAGCTGCCTTTATTACTCAGGATCAAGTCCCTCTCATTGGCGAAAGTCTAAACCTAAGTTGGATTTGGCTCAGACTTACCAGGAGACAACCTAAGCCTGAGCTTATCTACAACGAACTGTTGTTGAGGGGATCAGGAGGAGGTGGGTGCTCCTCTA